GGGGGGGGGGCATGGCGGGGAACATCACCGATATAGTGTGTCCAGCTGCTGTCCATACCGCGAGGGGCGGGAAACGTGCGCGCTGGAGCGTCGCGCGGGCTGCCTGCCTATGGATGGACGACGTGCCCGTCGACGGCCTGCAGCGGGGGCGGGGAGGAGGCGCGGCGGAGGGTATGCGGCCGGCCCATAGGCCTGCCCTCCATGGCGATATGGGCGTCGGCTCGTCTTGACGTCGTCGTGAACCCTCTCTGCGTGGCGCGGGCGGCCGTCACGCGTGCTGGCGGGGCGGGGCGGGGTGGGGAGCAGAAGGAAGAAGCCTGCTGGGCTGCTTAATGTTTTCTCCAGTCCATCGCCCGCCTCCCCAAGAGGCGGTTCGGATCGGGTCCGTCGTCGTGTCTAGCATCTGGTCTTCTTGGCGTTAGCAGTCCCCTTTGGGGGAGCTGTGCGCGAGGCTAGCTCGCCGCGTTGTGCGTGCGTTCGTGTGTGTGTGCGTGCGTGCGTGTTTGTGGACATGACGCTGCTATGCTGTGGGCGCGGGGGCCGCCACCAGGTCCACGACGACGCCGCGGGGAGCGCGCCGGCGGCGGCCGTGGCGACCGCGGGCTGCCAAGCCACCGCCGCCGCTGAGGTCCGAGAGCAGGAGCAGGAGGGGGGCCTCCGGGAGCGTGACGACGGCGACCTCCTCGGCGGCACTCGGCGCCGCCAGAGCGGCTCACCACTACCTCTCCGTCGTCGGAAGCAGAAGGACCGGATGCGCCGGAAGGACGCGGACGGCGGCGGCGTCGGCAGGCGTGGCTCGCCCCGCCGCGTTTTGTGCTGCTGCTGTTGCCGGCGGCCTGGTATGCACTGGATGGAGGGGGGGAGGGGGCTCTCCTGGGTCGGTCCCACGTCCACGCCAGGGCGGGGCGCGCGGAGCACCGCGATGACGGAGGGAGGGGACCGCATTGACACGCATGACAGCCCAGGGCTCGGGTCGCCGCCCAGCACAGACACCTGTGTTCGTTGTATGGTTGGCATTTTATCATTTCGTTTTTTATTATTTTATTGTCTTGCTTTATGTATCACGTAAAGCGACACACTACTCGCGAGGTCCCACCACACACCGCGCCCCATTTCCGTCTGCTCTGTCCGAGTAGTACCGCGTTTGCGTAAAAATGAACTACCCGTCGTGTTCCCTCGATCTTTGCACAACAACTTGCGCTATCTTGAGTTTCCTCGTGATGCCCTCCCGAGGCCATCACTTTTACGTCACCCAGAGTTTACAACGGAGCCATACCCATTGAGGGGCGCGCGCTCGCTAGGTAGGCTGCACTGCGGCGCAGGCGTGCCGGGCGGGCTTGCCTATCGCCTTTGCGCACGGCGCCTTGACTGGAGGGAGTTTCAAAAAAAAGTTTTCCTAGAAAGTATTTTTGATTATTTTTTCAAGTATTTGTGTTGTTTAATGTCGGAATTCTTGTAGAACAGTGTTTGCTTTTTGACATTTTTTTGTAAATGTTCATATTTTCCATGGAAAAAAAAGCTACGTCGAGGGACGTATCGTGAAAGCAGATGATACAAATTTAAGGATATGTCTGTGCCCTAATTTTCTCTCATATTTTGCTGTTATTTGTTTATGGCTGTTTGTCACTTTTAGCAATTGCTTTCTTGCAATTCAACGGACTAGCGGCATGGCATAGAGGAAGAGATAGGATAGGGGGCAGCAGGCAG